CAAAGATTATCTCTGAGAGATAGGAACATGAAAATGATTGTTTTTATTTTTATAATTTTGTGTGCTTTCACACTTTCATTATAATAAAAATGTGTATGTGTGTGTGTGTGTAATAGAACTCTGTGCTGGGCTCCCCACTGCCTATAGAAAGAAGCCCAGACACTCAGCCCAAGGTCAGGGTGCTCCAAGCCAGCCCACTTCCCTGGTGCTCAGCTGTCCCACCCCCAGGGCTGTGCAAACCTGTTTGTGTCTCCTGTCCTGCCTCGCCTGCCTTTTCTAGTCCTGGCACCTTTGTGCAGGTGATTTCTTCCACCTAGAATGCCATTTCCCCTCTCTCTGAGGGTCAGAATCCTATCCTGCCAAAGGGCCAGCTCAAATGTTCTGCCTGCACTTTACAGTCTCCCTCCTCTCCCTTGCTGCCATGTCTGTCTCAATTACCTGTCCTTGTGCAGTAAACGCTGTGTTTAATAAAGTACTGAGGTTGAGTTGAATTGAACTGAATTACATTTGGGATCCAGTAGAGGCCCCCAGAGCTGATTGGAGCATCCCCCAAAGACCCTGAGTTCTCTTACCTCCCTACAGCTGGGGGCCTGGGTCTCTCCTCTGAGATGATAGGAAACCAACAGTGCCTGAGTTGAGGGTGGGTGATCCCTGGGGGCCCCAGAGCTGTTACCCACAGGCTTTGACTCTGCTGGTGCAGGGAGGCTGAGTGCTATGGGCAGAGCTGACTGGTGAGATCAAGAGGCCAGGAGATGCAAGGCTTCCTATCACCAAGGGAGGAGGTAGCATGGGCCAGCTATCTCCGCTTGCCCAGGGTGGATGGGAGTCTCAGGATATGGAGCTCTCTGCGCTGAAACTGGAGAATCGCAGGCCAACTAGGATGGTTGCCAGCACGTGAGTGCTCCCTCTAGGCCCCTGGGACCAGGACTACAGCTACACAGGGCCATGGCGGCCAATCCTTTAGCCCTCATCTGTGCAGCCTGGGGTGACCCTGCACTCAGGTCCTAAGAAAAAAGAGCGTCTCAGACCAAAGCAGCAACAAATTTCTGAGCCTGGAACATTACTCATTCTCCCAGAGTTCTCATTGCTCCTTCCCAACCTGGAGTCCCTCTGTTCTTCCCAGCTATTTCTGCACAGATCCTCCCAGACCAAGGGACACTTTCCTGGGTCCCTCTTGTTTAAGGGTCTGGTTCCAATCACTTTCTCCACAAAGCCACCATCATCCACAGCCCACAAACCCATCCCTTCTCTGTCCTCTCATGGTCCCCACTCCTTAGTGCTTAATCCTCACTGATTGTCTTGCCTTTGAGCTCCTTTCTCCCAGCAAAATAGTGGATTCATTCACTCACTTATTCACTGGTGCAAAAAGAATTAATCTAATTCGTATTGGGTTAGAGTCCCACAGTGATCAGATTGACTCTACTTATTAGTTGCTGTGTTACCCCAAAAAGCCAAACAAGTCACTTAACCTCTCTGGGCCTTATTCTCTTCATATAAAACACAGGAGTCATAATAATGGCACCTAACTCAAAAGGTTGTTGGGCCATTACATGATTAAACAATTTTATGGTTCTTAGATCAATGCCCAGCACCCAGTAAACACTATATACCCTTTGCCATTATTAGTAAATTACTAAGAATTTACTATGTGCCAGATACTCTGAGGTACCAGGAATATAAAGTCCAAGAACTGACCAGTCTAGTTGGACAGGCAGACACATAAGCCAGCAATTGCAACACAGTGTGACTAATGGAGAAGGTATGGCAGCACACGGAGGGAGAGCAGTTACTCAGCCTGCCCTCTAGGCAAGGCAGCCAGGAGAGGCTTCTCAGAGGTGGTGACATGAAAGAGACAGCTAAGCCAGCTATACAGAAATGTGAAGGAAAAATAGGGGTACCTAGGTCTGGCAGTGTGAAGTAGCCTTCGCTGGTCCTGGAATGGAGCTAGTTTGAATGCCAGGGTCCAAGATATGGAATATGTAGAGTCTCAGCCACTAAAGAGAGAGAGAGAGCCCTGATTGTGGGGAGCAGGCACTTTCTTTTTTTTTTTTTTTTTTTTTTTTTGAGACAGAGCCTCAAGCTGTCCCCCTGGGTAGAGTGCCCTGGCATTACAGCTCACAGCAACCTCCAACTCCTGGGCTCAAGTGAGTCTCCTGCCTCCGCCTCCCAAGTAGCTGGGACCACAGGCGCCCGCCACAACACCCGGCTATTTTTTGGTTGCAGCCATCATTGTTGTTTTGGTGGGCTGGGCTGGATTCAAACCTGCCATCTTAGGTGTATGTGGCTGGCGCCTTAGCCGGTTGAGCTATAGGCGCCCAGCCAGGGGCAGGCACTTTCAAGGAGCTTGGCCTCTTCCCCTTGCAATGGTGAAACTACTAGCAATTTTAGCAAAAGAATGAGTTGCATTCTGGATGGAACACTTCAGCAGACTACGGTGCCAGACTGGGGGGGCAGGAGATTGAAGGGTGCCAATCTCTGCAGCTGCATGGCAGCTTGGCACACAGCCAGGCACAGTCTGGCCAGGGTCCTCCAGTCCTGGCCCTGGTGAAACAGCTGCCCACAGTGCCTACACGGCCCCAACAGACTTCAAGATTACACAGCATAATGTTCTGTAGATGTGCCCTCATGCCTTCTTGCTACAATTCTAGCTTTCAAACTCTCATTCTGGCTCTCCCCCTAGTCTGCACTCTCACCCTTGCAACAGGCTCACTCTTGCCAAAGCCTCAGCTCCCAACCCCAGCTCACCCTGACCAGAACAAGCCCATCCCTTCTCCCCTCGGCCTCCCCACCCCACCTCATCAGGCTCCCAGTTGCTCAGCTGAGACTTGCTCTGTCTCATTTTCCCATGGATGACTCATGTATCGGGCTGGGGTGAGGCCAGGGCTGCTGGAGCAAGGGGAGAGTTGGTGGCAACAGCTCCTCCCTGGCCTCACAGCATCCTCAGACCTACTGAGCAAAGTTTTTCCATCTCATGCATGTCTGCTGGCACTGTTATGGCCTATTTACACCCCCAAAGAAGCCTTGACCCTGCCCTGTGGTCCAGCCAAGCCTTCCTAGGGTGAAGGCCTATGCTCTTTCTTAGAAATTCAGAGCAGTGAGGACATCCATGAACTCAGGAAGCGGGTCCCCTCTGCCCCATCAGATATGGCAAGAACTCCCCAAAGAGTTTATGTATAATATCTTCAAAAAACAACCCTTGAACCCCAGACCTCTGTGCTGGGAGAGTTCTTGGAATCCTCAGACAGCTAATGGGTTTTTACAAATGATAGTAAATAACGTCCATTGCAACAAGCACCACCTATACTTATGAGAGTCTACTAGCTTCTAGGGTGTGTGCTGTAGGTCTAAGAGCAGCATGCTCTTCAGAGAGGCTGGGACTTTCCAAAGAAGAGGAGAAACCAAATCTGGGTTTGGGTAAAAACCAAAGCATACTTGGAACTGACATGACTGGGTGTTCCAAAAAAGCAGGGAGTGCCAGAAACTAGAGCCTGCTATCCCCTCCACCTGTCCCCTACCCCTATCTCATGCTGGCTGTGCCCCCCTCAGCCCTTTGCAGCCAAGCTCCAAGAAGCTCCCTAGTGCTAGACAGAGGAAGTATTGTCCAGTGCTCCCCTGGCTCCTGATGGCCAGCTCTCTTGGCACCAGTTGGCATTGACTGATCTCCCCAGAAGGATCTGGGTTTCTTGGGGCAGAGATTGGATCGTGTCTTTCTTCTCTGCATCCCCAGGCCCAAGCACAGCACCCAGCTCATAGAGGCATCTAGTTTATGGAATAAATGTGCCCTGTCTCCCAATGCCCCCTGCTCACAAACACTCCATTTCTGAGGGCCTGGATATCTCTTTTCCTTATGTCTGTAATCCCCATTATTGGTGATCCTTTGGTTGGATTGAAAGAGTAAAGATTCTATTTTATAGGCTGCTATTTTATAGAAGGATGGAGATGCTAACCCTTTCCCATTAACATAGCCTAAATCAAGAGAGGGGAGGCAAACACCCTCGCTCCACCACTACCCACTCCACCTCCCATAGAAGTGCTGCCATTCTCCCCACCTTTTTCCCAAAGCCCATGGCAGACATCACCAATTGATCACAGCATTCTGAGTTAGCCCAGATCTTTCTTACCACCGATCAGCATTGACATGCAAGATGCTTATTTGCCATGGTAGGATTATACTATCCTGAAGTATCCATGAACAGCTATATAACCTAATATGATAATAAATGAGTTATTTGTAAAAATTCCTTTGTAATTTATCAATTCTTAATCAATTGGGAGATGTAGTTCACATATCAGATGAGCAAGATGTTCCTTTGGACTCTGAGAGACTGAGACATAGGAAAGAGGAGTTTTGATTGGAAGGCAAGAAAAATCTGAAGGGAAACAAAACATGTTGGAAGCACAAAGAGGTTATTAAAGAGATTTTAAATTGCTGAAGGGGGCTGCTCAGCCTCCTTGCTAAGAGACTGTGAAGTAGGCCACTGCTTTGAAACAGGGAAAGTCTGACATGTTTTAACTAATGGAGCAAAGGAAGGCAGAGTGAACTACTGAACACAATGCGGAAAAGTCTCAGGGTTTACCTCATCAGTACTTCCTGTGTACATCAGAGCAGTCATTTCTCTATACCTCAGTTTCCCGTGTTGAAATTATTCCTTTTAAACTGTCCAGTAAAAAAAACCTTACTGTATAAATGTATAAAGCCTGAGTGTATAAAGGACAGGGAGACAAGCTCTGCCCAGAAAACTGAACATCCTCCCACAGTGGCAGGGGCAGGGTGACCTTTTGTAGAAGAGGAATCTATGGGGACAGAGCTGGCCAGTGTGACATGCCTCAGTCCAGGTCTAACGTCCCCTCCTTCCTAGGACTGGCAAGCCTGGGATTGCAATGTCTCTACCTACCCAGGCTAGAGATTTCAGAATGGGCTGTGGATTGGGAAAGTGGGGGTGGAGAGAGAGATGCTCCAAGCCATGGATCTTTGTGTGTAAAGAATTTTACTCAACAGATGCCCTTGTAGGGCATCTTCATTCTGGGATAGGCATGAAATGGTAATGGCCAAACCCACTCCCACCCCCACCACTTCCAGGCCTAACACCACAGTGGAGGGAAAAAGGGTAGAGTGGGGGAAGAAGTGTGCAAAGAAAGGGCCTGGATGGGTGGGGGTCCCGAAAGGACCTAAGCAGCAGGAGACCCCCAGGTGTGGGCCTCAGGCCCAGCAGCTCCCCCCTTCTTAAGGTGAGTCCAGAGACTGTCCCAGCATAGTTCCTCCTCTGGGTACCAGGCTGGCCTTCTGAGTTCTGAGGCGTTGGCTTGCTGCCATTCTCCTTGGGAATGCCCTCCTCCAGGCATGGCACAAAGCCAGGGGGGTAACAGCAGTCTGCAAGACAGATGGCAGGACTACAGCAGAGAGGGGGCTTTGATACCAGCTCTCCATTGTGCTATATGAGGCCAGCCTGTGGCCAGACGACCCTGAGCTGGGCATGTCCTGAGAGTCTGAGAGTATGGAAGGGCTGAATCTTCATCCTCAGCCCTTCAAGGCCTTCTGCCCTCTTGTCTGGGCTCCGTCCATTCCCTCAGCTCCAGTGCCTCCTCCACATGTCCATGGCTTCTGCCTCGCCACATGAAGCACAGTCATGCCTCCTCCAGCCAAAGGGGGCAGGGAAGCTGGCATGAAAGAACACCAGTTACAGAAGGACAACACTGGGGCAAAGAGTACCTACTGAGCTGGGTGTTTTACACCAGACCTACCCAGCCTTTTTCATATCAGCATGAACACAGAAAACAGTATTTGTACACACTGTAGTCAGTGGAAGTTGCTTCCTCCTAGGCCTCCCTAAGGCTATGTGATCAATGTGGATCGATACTCAGCACAGGAGTGTGCCTGACCTCTAGCCTCTTAGCTAACCCTGACTACAACGTGGGAGGGAGCTGACCCCAGGATCAAAGGGGGCACTAAATGGGGCCCCCAGGTTCACTGGACTCTCTACGTATTGAAGTGACAAGGCCTGCAGGTGGGTGAGATAGTATGTGAGGTGGTAGTGGGGGTGAGGGGAATATAGGTTCCCACTAGAGAAATTAAGACTAGAGTGGTGGCTCGGCGCCTATAGCTCAACCGGCTAAGGCGCCAGCCACGTACACCTAAGGTGGCAGGTTCGAATCCCCAGCCCGGGCCCACCAAACAACAATGACAGCTGCAACCAAAAAATAGCTAGGCGTTGTGGCGGGCGCCTGTGGTCCCAGCTACTTGGGAGGCTGAGGCAAGAGACTCGCTTGAGCCCAGGAGTTGGAGGTTGCTGTGAGCTGTAATGCCACGGCACTCTACCCAGGGGGACAGCTTGAGGCTCTGTCTCAAAAAAAAAAAAAAAAAAAAAAAAAAGACTAGAGTGGTATAAATCCCTTCTCAGCTCTGCTCCTAGTTCCCATGGGGAGGAGTGGCATCTGGGGAAGAGGGGACAAGGCTGAGAGCCAGGGCTTCTAAGTTCTATTCCTGGTCCCTCCCCTGAGCCTTCCTGACCACAAATCCACCCCCACCCTTGCCTACTGCTCATGGAGGATTAGGACATCACAAATAACAACTCACAACCCCATCCTGCACCCAACCACCCCCCTGCCTCAGTGCCCCATTCCCTCCTCCAGCTTCTCCTCCTCTGGCCCAGCCAGACCTAGATCAACATTCATGGGCAGGTAGACAGCCAGGCTACCCTCTTTGGCATTTGTGGTCTGGCCTCTGGCCTGGCTTGCCCATCTGCCAACTTCTCTGTTCTCTCAATAGCTCAGCCCTAGGACCCCCAAGCCCACTGTAAAGAATGGGTGGCTATATTGCACACCTAGGCTATATGGAAATAAATTAAATAATAATTTAAAGAGGAAAAGAAAAAGAATGGGTAGTTAGAGCCTTCAGACCCAGTTTAGCCAAGCCCTACCATTGAGGCTCCACCGAGTGCTGGGAGTCCTTGGCTGGGTTCCCAACCCTTGATGACTCCTTTCTAACAGGGATATGGTCTTTCTGCATCAATTCCACGTTCAAAGTCTAAGACAGGCGTTCATCCTAGAAAGGAGGGTAGTTCTCCCCAACTCATCCCCACCTTTGGTCTCCACCCTTAGTTCTACCCAGCAGCCAGAAAACCAGTTCAGAAGTTTCCCTGGGTTGGGGTAGAGGCCTACAACCTGGGGGACTGTGCAGGCCAGCCGCCCTCCACCGGAGTCAGGGCTGAATCAACCTGTGGGAAGGCCCATTCCCCCACCCTGGAGTCTCCTCCCAGGGCTTCCATCTTCCTCTCAGACACCTGGGTCACATTCAAGACCCTCCTGCCTGGTGCCTCAGGGAAGATCCAGCTCCACTCAGTTGGCCACTGGCCCAGGCCTCCCATGTTCAGATTCCTGGGTCCTTAATCTCTTTTAGCCACAGGAACCTTCCCTAGGATTGTCGGGCTTTTAAGTGGAATGCTGGTCCCTGACTCGGTAGGGAAAGAAGAGAAGGGAAGGAAGGAGAAACAGAGGGCTCAGTCCTCTAGGGACTTACCTGACATGACCTCCAAGCACCAGCAGTTGTAGGGAGCATGAAGGTTAAGATGGTACGCCTGGTGGTTTAGGACACGAGGGTCCCGGCCCCAAGGCTCTGCCGGGCACGCACTGTCTGGATGGCCTGCTGGTTCTTGAACTTGACCAAGCCTAGGGTGATCTGGGCGTTCCAGCCAGGGTCTTCGAGGGGGCAGCGAAAGTCGATCTCGCCGCCGCCCTCGGTCACCAACGTGAAGTAGATGTGGCGCCCAGTGCTTTCCACACACTCCACAGCCTTGATACGGTCGAAGCTGAGCTCCTTGGGCCGGCCGCCGGTGCCCTTGGCCTCGAAGAGCTGCAGCCCGCGCTCGGTGAGCACGCAGCGCTTCCGCTTCCACAGCTGCAGCAGCCCACTGCTGCGCTTCTCCAGCACGCCCTCCTTGAGCACGGTCGCCGCGGCCGTCATGGGCACCCCACGGTTCCGAGACAGCTGTAGGCTGCGGCGGGTGTGACGCCCCTCCCCGCTCGGCAGAGCCGGGTTCTGGGGCCCTGGGCTAGCTGGCTGTGCCCCCTACTCACTGGCGCCCTGACTGCACCGTGCGCCCGCGCCGCGGCCCTCAGGACACCGCTGCCCGAGCGCTGCGTATTGATGCCTCTGCCCGCTCGGCGCCAGCCGCCCCGCTTCAGCCGAGATGCCCCGCCCCGCCTCTGCCCGATGCCTCTGCGCCTCCCCGGCCCGTGAGCCTCGCCGCCCGCCCGCTCGCTCTCCTGGGCTCTGTGTGTGCGCTGGGCGGCAGCTCGCGGGATGTGCCCTTACATGTTCCGCCGCTCGCCTCCTGCGCCGCCCGCCCGCCGCGCATTCCTGCCCCGGCGAGCCCTCCCCTCCGCGCCGCGCACCGGCTCGGGTAGGGCCCCTGTGGGCGGGGCCGCGGTGGGGGCTCCGGCCCTCACTGGAAGCGCAGGGCGCTAGGCGGGACCGCTGCAGCCGAGAGGGGGCCGCTTACCCAACAAGCCCAAGCCTTCTGGCCTGCGGTCTGCCGCTTCTCGGAACACAGCTCCCCCAGGCCTTGGACGAAGGGGGTGGTAGTGGGGGGGAGGATAGGGGAGGGCGCAACTCCTAGATTGGAGAAGGCGCTGCTTGGGAGGGCCGTGAGCTTTCTTCTTTCCCTTTCCCCAGTTTTATTTTCCTTAGAGAAGGATGGGGACCGTGACATTAGGCCAGACACTGGAAGATGGCTCTCCTAGGTCCTTATTCTGCCCCACTTTGGTCAGCTCCTCCAAGCCCACTGTTTAAGGGCCTATTCACCCACGTGTTAATAATAGATTATTATGGGACTAATAATACGTAATAATCACAAGAATAAGACCTTTCTGTACGGACACCTTGTGTCTCCATCTTCCTGGCCAATAAGCAGAACCTAACGGGCACAGGGAGGGCCCAGTTGTGGGGGAAGGGGGCGGGGGACATAGCCCTTCGTAGGCACATGCTCACCTGAAGCTCTTAACTCCCAGAATGCCCCTGCAGGAGAGGGAGTAGACAATGCCTTAAGAGAAGAGAGGTAAAAAAGCGAGGTGTCTCCTGAGGACTAGAGGCCAGCAGTGGAGGGAGCTAAAGGTGGCCACAGTCCTCCCTGAGTGAGGCTCCCCCATGGTCTCAGCCTGTCTGACAGTCATGCCTTCCCATGGCTCCTCTTCCCCACCCTCCATAGGAGTGCACCAAGCTGGCACAGTCCTGCCATGATTGAAAGTTCTTTCCCTGAGTAAACAGGGCTCTAGACCAGGCTGTGCCCCTCACTGTTTTATCTCTATCAGTTCTCCCTACCCCCTACTGTGCTTGGACCTCACTTATGTCCTCTCTAGTTCCAGGCTAGTTCTCAATTGTAGACTTTTAAAGTTTACAAAGCCCTCTCACATGTTTTACATTCTTAAGTCAGATAGGTGTTATTAAGAAAAATGAAACTGGCTCGGCGCTTGTGGCTCAAGCAGTTAAGGCGCCAACCACATACACCTAAGGTGGCAGGTTTGAATCCAGCCCAGCTGGCCAAAACAACAATGACGGCTGCAACCAAAAAATAGCCGGGCGCTGCGGCAGGCGCCTGTGGTCCCAGCTACTTGGGAGGCAGAGGCAGGAGACTTGCTTGAGCCCAGGAGTTGGAGGTTGCTGTGAGCTGTGATGCCACAGCGCTCTGCCCAGGGGGATAGCTTGAGGCTCTGTCTCAAAAAAAAGAAAAAGAAAACTAGGCCGGTGAGGTGGTTCACGCCTATAATCCTAGCACTCTGGAAGGTGGATGCAGGTGGATTGCTTGAACTCATGAGTTCAAGACCAGCCTGAGGAAGATTGAGACCCCATCTCTAAAATATACAATAGCTGGATGTTGTGGTGGGTGCCTATAGTTCCAGCTACTCGGGAGGCTGAGACAAGAAGATTGTTTGAGCCCAAGAGTTTGAGGTTGCTGTGAGCCACAGCACTCTACCAAGGGTGACCAAAGTGAGACACTGTTTCAAAAAAAGAAAAAAAGTGAAACTCAGAGAGGTCAAGTAAACTAAATGAAGTCATACATCTTCGTAAATGGCAAAGCCAGGATGAGAATGTATGGTGGCTAATAGGGCCTAGGATCTTTTGATAATACCAACACTTCCTCTACATAAGCATCTGAGTACACATAGTTCCCTTTACAAATGACCTGCCACCCACACTTTTCTTTTCAGCTTACTGAGTGGAGCCATGCCAGGCTTTTGGTCAGAGGACAGAGGCAAAAAAAGAACAAATATTGAATAGCAACAGTGAGTAGACAAAGAAAGGGCCATAGGAGGGAATTCAGCAGGGGCTTACTCCACTGCTACAAGGGTCTTCACCAATTAAATATCCAGTTCTCAACACTGCCACTTTTTTTCTAGTGGCCGGGATAGGTCCTGGAAACCTGGAGTCCTGCTCCCAAGTCTCATGACCTCCTAGGAGTAGAGGAGATGACTCATTGAGAATCTTTCCCCAGAATTGGCATCTTGCTTGGTAGCCCCATCTGGGAGAGGCTCAGGGCCAAGTTGGATTATTTGGGCCATAAGAAGAATAAAGAAACATTCCAGCACCAGGGGAGCAGGGTAAATAGGGAGGGGGCTAATGCTGGCACTCCCTTTCTGGTAAAATATCTATACCTCCTCTAGGAACAGAAGCTCTAACTCAGCCTTTTGGGACACTCAGCTGAGGCAGTATTGGGCCCCAGCGCTACTTTCTTAATCCCTATTGACTTGTTGACTGCATTGATGGACAGAATGTACCCTGGTAGCAGCCCAGAGCTGGCTCCTCCTCTGCCCACCCCAAAGGGAAGGCTGATCTGCACTGTCAGTCAATCTGAGTCCAACTAGAACCAGCTAGATTACAAAACAGCCCTAGGAAACAGCATGCTGGAAAAGTTTCTAGCTAGGTCTGAGCCACTCCACATTGTATTGGGAGGAGGGAGCCATGTGAGGAGGAGGAACCATTCTGGGTGGCTACCTAGGACAAGGTAGAAAGAAAAATGGGAATAAAGTGGGATAGAGGCAAGACTGGGACTCAGAGAGATGCAAAAAGTAACACAGCTTAATTTTTCTACAGTACATTTTCTTACTAGAAATTCTGTTAGTGGTCATAAATTGTTAGATTCAATCTAAAGAAAAAGAATTGATGACAATTTTATTAACAAAATAGAACATATACTAACATTGTAAAATTTTTTTTTTCTTTTTGAGACAGAGTCTTACCATGTTGCCTTCAGTAGAGTGCTATAGCATCACAGCTCACAGCAACCTCAAACTCTTGGGCTCAAGTGATTCTCCTACCTCAGCCTCCCAAGCAGCTGGGACTACAGGCGCCGGCCACAACACCCAGCTATTTTTTGTTGCAGTTGTTGTCACTGTTGGTTAGCTGGCCCGGGCCGGGTTCCAACCTGCCAACTTTGGTGTATGTGACCAGCAGCATAAGTACTGTGCTACGGGCACCAAACCTAACACTATAAAAATTTTAAAACTATACACAATGTCACCCCTTTGCTCAAAATCCACCAGAGCCTTCTCATCTTATTCTGAGTAAAGCCAACGACAGTGACGCCACCTGCAAGGGCCTCCAGGATCAGCCCTTTACTTTCTGACCTCACCTCCTGAACTCTCCCGTCCTTCCCCTGGACCCAGCCACAATCCTTACCACCCTTCTAGGAAACATAGAAAAAAAGCTGGGTACCTCACTGGCACGTATCCCATTATCCCCTGGCGATGATGTGCAAACAGATCACCTGGGGATCTTATAAATGTGTATTCTAATTCAGTAAGTCTGGGATAGGATCTGAGATTCTGCAGTTCTAGAAGTTTCCATGTAACACCACGGATTACAGGCTACTAGTTTACAAAACTGTACTTTACATAGCAAGGGTCTAGAGCAGTGAGTGGTCTTCAAAGTGTGGTCCCACACCAGCAGCATCAGTATCGCTGGAGGAGTTTGTTAGAAATTCAAATTCTAGGGCACGGAGTGGTGGCTCAAGCCTGTAATCCTAGCACTCTGGGAAGTGGGGTGGGGAGAATTGCCTGAGCTCAGGAGTTTGAGGGTAGCCTGAGCAAGAGTAAGACCTCATCTCTAAAAAAAAGTAATGCCTGTAGTCCCAGCTACTTGGAAGGCTGAGGCAAGACGATTGCTTCAGCCCAAGCATTTGAGGTTGCTGTGAGCTCTGACGTCAAAGCACTCTATCAAAGGCAACAAAGTGAGACTCTGTCTCAAAAAAAAAAAACAGAAGAAGAAAGGAGAAAAGAAAAAAAAAAGGAGAAAGAAGAAAGAAGAAGAAGAAATGCAAATTCTAGGCTCCACTCCAGACCTACTGAGTCAGAGACTCTGGGTTTGGAGCCCAGCGATCTATGCTTAACAAGCCCTCTCTCTGGTGATCCTGATGCACATGTATGAGAACCACTGGTGTCGGGGAAGAAGCACTTAGCTAGGAGACAGGTCACTCCCGCCCCAGCTGTAACAGTTGGTGTTAGTTACCTTGGACAATCAATTCCTCCATCTGACCTAAGTTTCCTTATCTGTAAAAAGGAGGCTGTCTACCTTTGTCTTGCAAATTTAGTACAGATTTGCAAGAAAGCATGACTAGTTTATGGGGGTTAGAGAACTCCCTACGTAGGCAAGTAAAGAAGGACACAGCTATTGGATTTGCATTCCTGGATTTGTCAGGCCAGGTATCTTCTCCTCACCTAGATGGGGCAGGAAAAGGGGTTTGTCCACAGTCCTACTCCCTACCCCACACCCCTACTTCTGGGCTTCGCATTTACCTTCCAATCCGTAGGTCCCTCTCTGCTCTTTTCTCCCTAGAAGCCTGGGGGTAGGGAGAACCACCCTTCTGCTGACCTCTCCCTGAGACTTCTCCTGACCTGCTGGAACCCCTTTGATGTACAGCCCTTTGTTCTAGGGCTTTGGGGTTTCCTCGGATCTGTTTTTTTAAAGGGAAACATTAAAAAAAAAAAAAAAAAACAACCATGGTTTTAAGTCTCTAATGACTTAGGTTTTATGGGCACCATTGCAACAGACCTCAAGTGAGCAGCAACCCTGCAGCCAACCAGCCCAGGCTTGTTCCTGGGCCTGGCTATCTTGGTGGAAATCCCCTCCCACGCTCAGCCCTTTAATCATTTTCCAGCCCAATAACTTTTCCTGATTCACCAGGGATCCCTTTCGTCTTGAGAGCGCCCACTGCCCCTCTCTGATGGAGCTGAGTCTGAACTTGAAGGCATTTGATCCCAGCTTGGGTTTGACAGTGATTGGACTTGTGGGCTGGGAGGTCAGGTTGGGGCCTGCAGAATTTTCCCTTTTCCCATGCCATCTTGGCATCTGGGTGCCCACATTGTAGGAGCAAAGGGGCTGCCCTGGAATGACCCTCGTCCTTGGGGACACTGGGGTGGAGAGGCAAGGATGCCAGGTGACTGG